TTTTTTTTTTTAATGGGTTTGACTGTTTTAGATTCCACATATAAGTGATATCATAGAGTACTTGTCTTTCACTTAGCATAATATGCTCAGGTCTTAGGACTTTTTTGTGTAGGAGTCAAGCACTTTTGTTATTAGTAGCTTTTGTGGATACTTTGAAAGCTAGAATAGTTTCTGCAGTTATAAAACTTAAGTAGTGAAAGTCAAGTAATTTTTTTCCTCGCACTTTCATTGTCCTTTCTGTTTCCATTAAGGCACTCACCTCATTTTATTTCTTACAGTTATTTTTGTGCATGACATGTCACAGGTGGTGAGCTTTGTGAGTTTGAGCTTTGTGGGATTTTTGTGTGCTAGAAAGTAGACTGGAATTGGGGTTTTCTTGATTTGTGTGCCTTTGCTGTTATTGATAGTGAGTCCTTTGGGCAAGACTCTCCACCTTCTGAACCTTGATTTACTCATTTGTGAGCTATTTCATGGGTAGTTTATAAGAAAATATTTATGAAATAGAAGAAATTATTCACCTTCAGAGTGGCCTTCAGTTATGGTCATTTGAAGAATGGCTAATTAAAATAATGTTTCCTTTATAATGTTCAATGACTAGATAGTAAGTCAAATTATTATCTTAACATATTGTTCAACATATTGTTTTCTTCTATAAAGAGTTGTATCCTTAGGTGATGAACTGTAACACTAAAATCTCTTTACATGAGTGGTTCGCAGACTCCAGTTGACATGAATCCTTGAACCTGTTAAAAACATGCACTTGTGCATGTCCGTTCTGATGTAAGACATCTAGAGTGTGGCCCGTTAATTTGTATTTTATAAACAGCCAGGTCAGGTTAAAGAACTTGATCAATATGCCCCTAACTCCCAGCTTCTGACTTATATCCAGGCCTGCTCAGCATCTCTCCTTGACTGGGTCGTGGGGCATCTCAGTGGTATCATGTGTACAACTGCTCTTGATTCCCCACTAAACCCTCCATCTCACCGCCACAAAAGTCATT